TAAATAAATAAATAAATAAATATAAATAAATAGGAATGAAGAAATATCACAAAAGGTAGAGAAAACATATTGAAAGATAAAAATTGGGAAAGAAGGGAAAGTTAGTGGGCCAGTCAAGAATGTCAAATATCCTGAAAATAATAGAAGTTCTAGAAAGAGAGAAGAGAGGAAATGAAGGAAAGAAAGTAATCTCAAAACATTTTAAGAGAATTTGCCCAAACTGAAGTATATTATTTTGCAGACTGAGAATTCATTGAGTGCCTGGCACAATGGATGAAATTTTAGAATACTTGTGAGAAAATTAAGGACCCTTCAAACTTTTAGTGAGGAAAATAAGGCCACATACAAAGAATAAAAAATCAGATATATTGGGAATCTTCAACAAGACTGGAAGCTAAAAGGCAATATGACAAAGCTTTAAAAATTCTGAAGAAAAATAGTTTCCAATCTAGAATTCCACAATAGCCCAATATGAATTAAACATGAAAGCAGAATAAAAATGTTACCCGACCTGCAGTATTGAAATGCTTTCTAAAAAAGCTGGTAGAGGATATAAACCAAAGTAAAAAGCCTCCCACGGCTCAGCCATATACCTGGCATAAATTACCACCAGTCCAGAAGCAGGGCAGAAAGTTCTGACCTGCTTTCTAGAGATTTATTTACTAGGGATTTCTTTAGGAAGATGAAATCTGTATTCTACTAATACCTCTGAAGGTCTTGAGAGGAAATAAGACAATTGGCAAAAAATTTGGGGAGGAATTAGTGATATGTACGTAGAGAACTAAACAAATGAAAAATAAGTCAATTATTAATTCTGGAGGTGGGGGGAGTTGTACAGGGCAGAAAAAGTAATCATAGTTTACTATAGAGCCCCTCATTTACATAGTCATCATAATGTAAACATTGAGTATTATTCTAACACAGTTATAAGAGGGTGCATGTGTTTATGTTTGGAGAAAGCTAAATCTTCATCTCCTATCTTTACAGGCATTCAAAACTTTGCCAAGTGGATTACTGGACTACTGCTTCTGAGGGCTTAGAGATCTTTGGCCCAATTTCCTGGTGAATATGCAATTTGTAGATGAGAAATGTCTTCATTTCCTGTGACTAGAGAAAAATAATGAAGAGGAAAAAGTGGGGCCAAAGTATGTAACCACAGGAGGTAAAGAAAGCTGGGGGAAAAAAGAGAGAGACAGAACTAACAGAAACCTGGAGTTAAGGGACAGGGAGGTTTAAGGGCTGTGTGTTAAGGGACAGGGAGGTTTAAGGGTTGTGTGTGAATCTTGGCTGTGTGTTTTCCTTCAGACCCTCTCCAGGTTGGCCCACCCCTGCCTTCTTTGACTGAAGTGATCACCACAAAACCACACTACATGTGAACTCTGGCTGTATGGCCAGATGAATATTTCTGAGGAAGGGGAGCAATAGCATCTTTTCTAGAAAGGGGAAGTGAATGCAGGTTCCCCTTTACTAGGTCAGGCTGAACCAGATCCCTTCACCACAACCCCCCCAAGCCACCCCCATTTCCTGGTAGTGGCTCTACACTGCTGTCTGTGTTATTCATTAACCAGATGCTAATATTTCTGTTTACACATCTGTCATCCTGCAGGGGATTCAGAGGAGTCCTGTAATCTAACTGGCCACCTGGATTCTCTTGGATCAGGCCCAGCCAGCCACATTTAGCTAGTGTGTATTGTGCCAGAGCCTTGTACTAAATGTAGCCAGGCAGAGAGGATGTTTTCTCAAGTAGGATGTTATCTGTCTGCCAGTTAAGCATATGTGCTGGGAGGGTATCTAGTGATGTGTTTGAGTTGGCTTGCAAGAGCTGATTATTGGCATCTCTTGCCAAACCCATGTTCAGTGTCTTCATATTGGTAGAAATTGGCCCTGTTGGAGTGTGTCTGCCATAGAAATTGGCAAGTGCAACAATTCAGGGTCTTTCCCAATCTCTAACACTCCTGCTCCCCAACCCCTCCCATTCCAAGACCTGGTTGTTAAACATTTTCTAGCACACCACTAAGGATATCTATTTATTAAGTAGGTGCATAACTTGTATTCTAATGAAATAGGCAACAGCCTCCACATTCAGGGAGCTACCAGTCCAATGAAAACCCTGCAGGTTTGTTATAGTATTGTACTTTATGATTTCTTAGTCTGTCATGAACTTTATCTCCTTGACCTAACAACCATCTCCCTTCAGTGGTACACCCAGATACCAGAATGATCACCTTAAAATGGAAATCAGACCATTCTACTGTCTTACTTAAAACCATCTAATGACTTCAAAAACTCTCAGAATTAATTTGAACTCCTATCTGTGCCCTAAGATACTCTGCATGGTCTGGTTTCTGCTGACAGCCTTAACATCTTCTTCCATCTCTCACTTCCCAGTTCACAATATTCTGGTGCATTGGTTCTCAAAGTTTGAACCACCAGCAGCACCAGTACCACCTGGATTGTTAAAAATACAAAGTCTTGGGTTCTATCCCAAACCTACTGATTCTGAAACTGTAGGGGAGGGAAGATGATAATTCATGCTTCAGCAAACTCTCCATGTGATTCTAATATACGCTTAAATTCGCAAACCACTACTCTAACTCCACATTGGCCTTGAGATGCTAACCATTTTTTTCCTCCTCAGGACCTTTGCACCAGCATTTCCTATTTCTAAAATGCTTTTCCTGTGGGCCTTTGTATGGCAATTCTTTTGCCTCATTCAGGTCTTTGATGAACATTATTTACTCAGGAAAGTCTTCTGAATCCCCTCAAACTCTTCATTATATTTCCTCCTATAGCTTATATCTGTTTGTAAAAAATTATTTTCCACATTCTGAATTACCTCAGTTGTTTATTTGTTTACTTGTTTATTAACTATTTTTTCCCACTAGAATGGAAGCACCAATGAGAGATACCTTGATTCATACTCTCTGCATTCCTAGCTAGCCTGTTATATATCCCAGCTTATAGTATGTAATCAATACATATTTGTTGAACAAATGAATTACTCATTTCCCAGTGAAGAAATGGGGCCTATGTCAAGTAACTTAATGAAGATCAAATACTTGTTAGTGAGTAGCTAAACTTTCACCCTGAAAGTCTCAGAACAAGTCCAGAGATTTACTTGCACTTTCCTGATTAACAGAAGCAACCATGTCCCTAAAATCCTGGGAATCTCAAGGTGGAAGGAGTTTGGCAGTTCCTGGTTCAGCCCTTATCAGATGTGTGGATTTCCTCAATGTCCTAACATGGGTGTTTTCTATCTTCCCCTTTGATGTCCCTGGAAAGTGGGGAATGAACACCTTGTGGAGGTAGTAACCAGTTTCATTTTAAACAGCCCTGATTCCTTAAGACATAACTCCCTGCCTCTTTTGCCCATGACACTTGTTCTCCACTGTAGGGATGCATAGACTGCATCTTCCATACAATGGAACTTACTTGTTCCAGTCCCACATCTAGTGTTCTCTCACTTGGTTCTCATGTATCAATGAAAAAAGCTGGCACACTGTAATCAGGAAGACCTGATTCAAACTCCCTCTTGCTTATTGACCTTGGAAAGTTCCCTTTATCACCTTAGGCTTCTTCTCTAGAATGGAGCCTGGCATTTAATATGCTGGTGTTAGTTTATTTTTATTAGGCTTGAAGTCTCCAAAATATTTTGCTTAATTTTTCTGATTAACCAAATTATTATCCTTTGATATCCTTTGAGGTAATGTCCTTTATAAAATGTGTTGCTCAGCACTGAATAATCCTCCGTGGAATGAGATGATCAACTTGTTTAGACTCTGTTTCTTTTAATACCATCCAAAATCAAATTAATTTTGGAAGGTGTAATACATCTGAAAATCTCAGCTTTTTTTCCCTTCACACATTACTATCAAACTATCCTATGTAGTCGGCTATCTGATATATTAATTTCATTTTAAATTTCTGCTTACTATATTTCTTCAAGTGGGGGTATATCTGAGCTCCAGTTGCCATCTTAGAACTAAATAATATTCTATAATTTTCAGCAATTTTATACATGCTGTCCCATTTAAACCTCAGAATGCCCTTAGGAGGCATACATTATCCTCATTATTATGATCTGGAAATGGAGGCTGGAGGTGTAACCTGATCAAGATCAGCCAGCTAGTAAATAGAACCTATACTGAAGTCAGGGCCAGGACACCAATCCAGTGTTGTTCTGAGGAAGAAAAACAGAGAAAATGAGCTCTCAGTTGAATAGAAACAACAAGGAAAGTTTTTCTGGAGAAAGTAAATACTAAGTGGGGTTTTATAAGAAGGGGAAAAGCAAGCAGTTATAAGAGGGGGATCCATGGAGTTGAGGGGGACTTATAGGTAGGAATGACCTCTCCAAAGAGTAATTTCTTGGACTTATTGGGTGCCAGAGCTAGGCCAGTGATTCTGACTGAGCCGTCTATCATACTCTCCTGGGGAGCCACCCTGAGATTCTGAGTCCATAGATTTGAGGTGGCCACTTGTTATTTTTATATCTCTACATGTGATTGTGATGTATGGCCTCTGTTGCAAACCACTATGCTAGGGGCTGGAGGGTCAGTTACCTACAGAGAGTGGTCTACGAGTCCTTATTGTAGAAAAATGACTCAGGCAGGTGGAACTGGGAAGGGAGAGAGGATACAAAGCAGGCAATGGAATGATTTGAAATGAGTTCCTGGAAGGGAAAGTTTTGATGATCAGAAAACTCTGCAGGTTTCTAAGAAGAAGAGTAGGATGTTTTAAGCCCCTGTGATCCACTGATAACTTTGAGTCAGGATCAGGACTCAGCCCACATCTTTCTAAATCCAGTTTCTACTCATAGATCTAAACAGGATTATGTTGGTCCCCTCACTTAATCCACTTCCATTACATCTTTACCTTAAAATGTTTCTGTGGTTTCAGATGCTTCACCTTCCCTCTTTGTTGCTGAGTCTGGTTCTTCATTCCATTTTTGCCCTTGCCAGGCTTGCAGAAATGTTACAGAAAGTGGACACTAACTTCAGAGTTTTAAAATCTTTATTTTTCAGTCTGCTGGACCAAGCTGTCTATTCTTGTGCTAGTCAGTTTTGAGCTCTGACTGATGGGTGCCAAGCTGTATCCTGACATGTGTGGGGTGCCATGGAGGGAGAAGACAAGACCCAGCCTCAGGACGCTCCCAGTTTAATGGAGGAGAGAAGATACACACGTGAAGATGGTTGGAGCACACTTACAAAGCAGCAGGCTTGATTAATACAGTGCAAGTCTAGAGCATCAGAGACCTAAGCCCTCAGCCGTCTCTCCCAGTCCCCTTGGCTCAGAACTTTCCTGAGTATTCTTTGACCTCATTTAGTATTTCTCTTCCATCTCTTTCACATTGGCTTATTTCCAGCATCAACAACTATACCAGCACCCAGGTGTTTTTACAAAGCTTATGGCAAAATTGCTTCAGGATTCTCTGCTTCAGCCTGATCACTGACCACCTCACAAGGACTAAATTCATATTAGCGACATTGCTTCTAAAACTTGGCCCAATAGTGCTCCTAACCTTAGCTATTTCTCCTTTTGTCAGGGAGCTGTGTTCTTTTGGGAAGGTGAGAGATTTTTACAGTGCCAGTACTAGGTTGGGTCTGAAGATTCCTGAACCTGAAACTCTCAAGCTTTCCCTCTCCCAACCCGCTCAACCCATATGTGTCCCCCAGTGCCTCCAGAGGTCCAGGAACCTCCCTAGTCTGTGGTGAAATCAGAACTCGGTGCTCCTTCTGCTTGACTCACACCCCTGTCCCCATTTGTCATCTCTGCTACTTCTTTGCCTCTGCGTCCCAACAGAGAGGAGCCCTGATGTCGCAGTATCTGAAGCCCTTTTCCAAAGGCTCGGCGCACATCTGAAGAAGAGAAATAGAAAAGCAGGGGGTCCAGGCTGGCGTTGAGGGAACTTAATACCACAGCTTCTGCTCTCCATGCAGGGCTCTTCTCTGTGGCATACCCCACCACGTGGGACACATTATAAGGCCCAAAGCACACCAGGAAATTAAGGAGTGTCACAACAGCCAGCCCTACAGCTCGGCGCCGCCTCTGGGCTGCCACATGGGGCTGGGTGAGCATGATCCACACAAAGCGCCAGTAGCAGAAGATGGTGACCATCATGGGGATCAAGAAGAGGACGAGGAAGAGCTCCAGTCTCACAGGAAGCAAAAACTTTAGCTGGGTGTCGGTGAAGTTCTCATAACAGGTAAAATTTGTGGTTTTTGTGGTGTTCTGTGATGAGTCCCAGTACTGAGTGATGATCACAATGGTACAGTGACCAAAGGACATGATCCAGGCAACCAGAGCAGCAATCACTCCATACAGAGGCCGCCGGGACAGCTTGTACCGCACGGGGAAAGCCACTCCCAGGTAGCGCTCGATGCTGATGCCTGCCAGCAGCCACGTGCTGCAGTAGATGCTGCTGTAGAAGCCGAAACCTGTGAGCGCACAGGCTACCTCAGGCAGAGGCCATTGGAAGTTATATGCAGCTTCACAGATCTTGAAGGGGAGCAGCAGCAGCAGGAGGAGGTCCGCCAGTGTCAGGCTGAGCAGGAGGATGTGGACAGGTGCAGGGTGAGGCTGGCGGACCCGGCCCAGGAAGGCCCGAAGGGCCAGGAGGTTGGCTGGGAGACCAGTGAGGAAGATGATGGTGTAGGCCGAGAGGATCCAGGAGCTCTTTGAGTCTAGCATGACCAATCTGAAAGAGGATGAAAAGGGCAGGGTCAGGAGTCCCCACTCATAGCCTGCCTCTGGTTCAGGATAAGGACATCCTCTCTGGCACTCTCCCCTTCCCAGGCTCAGGCTTTCTGCTGCCACCGCTGCTTGTTCACACACCTGCCAGAACTGCCCAGAGCAATTATTGACTTTGCCTGGGGTGGGATATTAACTAGGAGTTATTACATTTGCTGTCATAATTCTCTGGGGGAGACCAACCTTGGCTTCCCAAGTGAATTCCCCCTCCTGTTTCCCCAGCCTTTCTCCTACTCTCCTCTCAGATACAGGAAGCTACTGTTACTGGTTTCCAACTTTCCTTAAGTCCTTCTTCAGTTGGAGATCTTCAGAGAGATAAAGCAGGACTTCCCACACGGAGAGGAGAACTCTGCTGTGAGAATCAGGCCCCCTACCCAGGCTGGCCCTCCACAGGACCCCTCCCACACCCAGGAAGCAGGTGCTTAGCTTCCAACCCATCTCCCTACCTCGTTTTCCTCTCCTTTTGCAGAACACAGATTTTCCTCCCCTGTCCAATACCAAACTCAGGGACTGTTTAAAAGGGAAGCTAGTGAAATGTGGGGGTAGGGAGGGTGAGAGGAAGGTGAGCCAACACTATTTTGAGGAGCTTGTTCCCCAAAAGGCATTACAGAATATTTAGAGAAGCCCACGGGCAGTCACTAGCTCCTGAGCCTGGTGTTTTTACTATAAACAAGAACTCTTCTTAACGAGTAACTCAACTTTCACTTGGCTTAGAACCCTCACCAGCCACACAGTCTGACCCCTCCATCCTTTTCCTGGGCTTGATGTCCTGGTCTGCATTTCCTTGTCCCCACCCCACTGGCTGCTGTTACCAGGTATAATCCTTACACTCAATTTTTGACAGACTTCCTCCAGCCCCCCAACAGCTTCCCCTCCAATTCTGATCCTGGCATTCCTTCCCAGAGTGCAAGCACTCAGCTAGCTGCCTTGCCTTGTCTTCGCTTTTCCGGATAGATGGCTTCTCGGAAAGTCTGAAAGCTTCTGGGAAAGAGGAACAGACCTTCAGCCACTGCTACTGCCCATTTCGCACAGGAAAATATTGTAAGGAACCTGGCTGGTAGAAAGCTTTTATACCAACACAAGTCACGTGACTATAGAGAGGCAGGTCAGTAATTGAGCGCTGTCTCCTCTCCAACCCGAAGGAAAAGGTGCCAGCATCTTTCTCCTAACCCTAGATATCCTCATTCTGACTTCCAAACCAAGTTCCTGAATTCCTTTTTAATCCTAGGCATTTTCCCCATTTTTCCAAGTCAGATTCACTTCTAGGCAATTTCTTCTGTAATTCTACTCATTCTCAGAAAACAAGATTTCTACTTCCTTTTATTCTTAATTTTTTCCCTTTCTATATGGTCTCCTCCCCTCTCCCCCCAATAAGTTTCTTTTACCCTCTCAGTTGAAAAACAGATTGGTTTCTCCTAGCCTGATGCTTATTCTGGAAGAAATAGCATGGGATTCAGAGTCATGTACATGTGGGCTCAGTTCAAGTCCCTTCATTGTGACTTTGGAGCATATGAATTTTCTGAACTCTAATTTCCTTTTCAGTCAGGTGAGGATGGAGATACTAACATCCCAGAATTGCTGTAAGGAGTCAGTAAGACAGCATATGTAAAGCATGTGAGCCAGTGCTTAGCTCTTTGTGGATGCCTATAAGTAGAAGTGGTCACAAACTTTCAAGCCTGTTGGACAGCTTCAGTGAGAGTGAGCCACTGGTAAAATATCTAGAGGCTGAGGACACAGACATGCTCTCTGACTTGGGAAAGTGTCAGGGACTCAGTGGGCCTAATGTGCCTACATGGCTCTTTCTAGGAGAATGGTGCTTCTCTCTCCCTGTGATGTGGGCCCAACCACTGAGCCACCCTGTTCTTTTCTCACTATTTTCACCTATATAGCTCCTTAAAGTTTTGTTGAAACACATGCCTGAGGAAACAGAGTCCTGGTTCTTAACCTAAGGATTGGGTCTCTTGCCATCTGTGGCCTGATCTCTGTTTGCAAAATCTCCATTCTTTCTTAAGGACATGCTTGCTTCCTATTGCTTGCCTATTCACTCATTCACTCATTCGCTCACTCATTCATTTATTCATTCATCCATTTTGTTGCCTAGAACCCCAGATCTAGCTGACTCTAGAGCTTCTTCAGGTATTTTAATATTTAGCTTTTCTTTCTCTTCAGCACTCTTCTCCTCTAAAACCAAGTTCTATGTTTTCATTTATTTCCTTCCCTCAGCACAAACATGCACTTCCAAGATAACTAGGGGAACTAAGGAAGAGACCATTCTCTGTTGTTTGCTACCAAATTTATTTGTGTCATTTTGCTCTTACGATTTTCTATAAATATTCACAAGGATCTGGACTCAAGAGCAAACTAAAAACTTAGTAGAAAACAGATATTGAGGAATAGGACTGCTTTTTTTTTTTATTCCCTCCTGTTCTTCTGCCACCTGATGCATTTCTCATATCATTGTTGTATATAACCTGTGTTGGAGGCCCCCATTGAATCCCCTTTTCCATTTTCATGGTAGTTAGGAAGGTAATATAATAAAGGACACTTAAAAAATTTCATTTATTTTTTAGAAAGAGGGGAAGAGAGAGAGAAAGAGAAACATCAATGCCTGAGAGAAATATCAATGAGCTGCCTCTTGCAAACCCCCAACCAGGGACCTGGCCTGCAATCCAGGCATGTGCCCTGACTGAGAATCAAACCCACAGCCTTTTGGTTCACAGGTTGGTGCTCAGCCCACTGAGCCACACCAGCCAGGGCATAAAGGAAACTTTTGAACTCATGATTCATAATGCCCACCTATTTTGCAGGAGAAGAACATGGTTCTTTTTTTTTTCTTTCACAAAAGCAGTTTCACAATCTTCAAGTTCAGTCTTTTTCTCATCATCTTTATGACCCAGCTTGTTATGCTAGGAAGTTGAACCCATTATTTAAATGTATAATCACTTTCTCTGCTTCCTCATTTATCGGTCACCCTTCAGTCTACTCTAACCTGGGTTATGTTCCTATCTTTCCATGGGATCTGTTCTTCTTAATGTTAGCAGTGACCTCTATGTTACCAAATTCAGTGGGTATTTCCTTATTATTTTATTAGCATTCAACACAGTTTCTATACCCACCTTGAATTCTTTCCATGAATTCTGATAAGCTTTGCTCTTCTGGTTTCCCTGCTTTTTCTTTGGTCACATCTTAATTTTCTTTGTTAGCTCACTTTTGCCTCTACACCCTCTAAATATTGAAGTTCCTTAAGCCTTGGTTCTAGCTTCCTTACTCTCCTTATCCTGTGCTCTCTCCCTACTCTACTGTATCCATTTCTACAGCATCAATTACCATCTTCATACTCCCAATTTTGAATCTCCATCCTGTGAACTTTCACATCCACATGTCCACCTACTTAGTAGTCACTGTCATTTGGATGTCTCCCAAGCATCTCAAATCCCCTGTGCCCAAAGCTGACTCTAGACCTTCTTCACCAAACTAGCAGTGACTAGCTGTGATGGAGCCAGTCACACCTCCTGTCAAAATCCTGGTAAGAAATGATGGTGGCTTATATTGAGATTCAACTAGATTCCCTTCATTATATGTTCTCATGGCATTTTTTCTATTGATGAATAGTATTCTGTTTTATGGATATTTTATATTTTATTTATCCATTCACCTGTTAATAAACATTTTTCCTTCTGTTTTTAGCTTGTGTCAACAAAGATGCTATGTACATTGTCATTTAGGTGTGAATATGTGTTTTCAGTTTTGTTGGGCAAATAGCTAGGATACGTATTTGTTGGATAGGTTAAATTTTTAAGAAACTGTCAGTTTCCCAAGGAGGCTGTACCATCTTTATTCCCACCAGCAATGTATTCCTGTTGCTCCAACACTTGGTGTTTGTTAGGCTTAAGTTTTAGGCATTCTAATTAGTGTGTATTGGCATCTCATTGTGCTTTTAATTTGCATTTCCCTAATGAATATTGATGTTGAGCATCTTTTCAAGTATTGGCCTTTTTCATATCTTCTTTTGTAAAGTGTCTGTTCAAGTCTTCTGCTCATTTTTAAAAATTTGAATTATTTTTATACTTTTGAGTTTTGAGAGTTCATTATTATATTCAAGGCATTAGTCATCTGTTAGATATATATATTCTAAATATTTTCTCCTGCTCTATGACCTGCCTTTTAATTTTCTTATCTGTCTCTAGAAGAATAAAAATTTCAAATTTTGATAAAGCCTAATTTATGGTTTGTGCTTTATGTCCTAAGAAATCTTTACCTACCTATTCAATTCCAGATTTGACTTTCCCTGTTGAATTGCCTTGGCACCTTTACTGAATATGAACTGATTTTAGTTGGATCTAATTCTTAAATGTCTCTTCTACTTTAGTGATTTTTGTCTTTCCTTTTCACCATTTCTATATAGTCTTGGTTACTGTAGTTTTACAATAAATCTTGAAATCAGATAGTGTAAGTTCCCCAAGTTTGTTCTTCTTTTAAAAAATTGCTTTAGCTTTTCTAGGTCATTTGCATTTTTATATAAATTATTTTCTACAAAAAAGCCTGCTAGAATTTTGATTGGGATTGTGTTGACTCTTATGGATCAATTTGACACCATCAACATTGGAACAATACTGAGCCATCCAATCTATGAATGTAATATAGCTCTCTATTTACTAGGAAGTTTAATTTCTCTCAGCCATACTTACTTGTGTTCAGCATAGAGGTTTTTACATCTTTTCTTAAATAGATTCCTAAGTATTCATGGTGCTATTATAAATTTTTAAAAAATTTTTGTTGCCCTCATAGCATCTTTGACTATTCCTCACAGCACATAGCTCAGTTTATAATAAAACAGTTATTTCTGTGATAATTTGCTTAATGTACATCTCCCTTAAAAGACTATCCATGAGGGCAAGAACCATGGCTATTTTGCTCACCGTTGTATCCTTGGTGCCTGGAAGAGAA